ACACACTCTAGATCCAGCCACCTCTGAAAAAGTCCCTCCTACGACATGAGGCTTTAGGGGTACATCTAAACACAAGCCATAACATCACCTCTGCATTATTTTGTCGTTCCTTTGAAAATCTCACTATGCACTTTCCAACACCCTTACTTTCACTGCCCTTATGGCTCAATACTTCTATTCACTAGGAAACTCCCAACAATCCCAACCCAATCCACAGGACCAGATGTGGCAGTGATCAAAGAGGCACTTTCCTGAAGAACCAATTACTTTTTCTTTTTGTCTTTCTGAGACAGGGTCTTGCTATGTATTTCAGGCTGTCCTTGAGCTCACTTTGTAGCCCAGGTGGTCTCAAACTTGCAATGATCCTCCTGCCTTAGCTTCCCGAGTGCTGGGATTACAGGCATGCACCACACCAGGCTAAGGAGACCCATTTACTATGGGAGAAAAATTTCCTTTTACCCCTGAACCTTCTGCATCGAAGACCACCAGTTTCCCATCTCCCTGGGCTAAGCTCCCAGGTCTCTGGAGGCCCCGTGCTCTTCTGGTCACGGTGAAAGCACTGCTTCAGTGACCCTGGACCGTGGCTTCCCTAAGACAAGTGCTGGTTCATCTCCAGGATTTAGATTTATCTTCTACTTGGAAAGCTGGGAATAGCTGGGCTCCTAGGCTGAGGGAGCACGGATTCTTCTGTCAGACTGTCAGAAGCAGGGTGCTCTGATTCCTTTCATGCACTTTTTCTTACAGAGGGAGAGGTGGTTAATGTTTTATGGGGTTTGCAAAAGAAATGAGGTGATACTGGGGTCCATTTGTTGTATTACAAAAATAAAAAAGTTTTAAAATGAATTTTTGAGATTTGCCTGGGGGGTACTCCACTTAAAAACATGAATGAAAAGAGGAAGAGATGGAATAAAAACAGGTATTTATACCATTTATTGCTATATGTTTCTACTTTTGTGTATTTTTGGAGATTTTCATAATAAAATACAGAACACTAAGTAAGAGTCAACTGTCACTCTACCTCATTTTTCAAATGAAGCAAAAACAATTCAGCAGCATAAAAATACTTCTACCATAAAAGTCCCCCACCATGGGTAATTCATATTGCATCACAATGAAATTGTGTTTGCTTGAGTTTTTTTCAGTAAAAATATCCTAAGCTGTCACCTGCTATGTGTGAGCACTGATTAAATTGCATGAACTCTCCCTGAAACCTTTTGGTAGACTACAGAAGTTATCGTTCACTTCTTCAAAGTAAATATGAAAAGGTCCCCTTACGTATTTCTTTCCAGAAGAGGGAAAATGTGTCATCTCCTCTGTCTCTTTCCTGCTGAGACCACCATGCCTCTTTCCTGTTCTTTCCTGCTGAAGACCACCAGTCCACTATGTACCAGATACAGTACTAGACAGTGAGCTCAGCTCACTCAAGATTATGTCTCCAAGGTAACACCATAAAAACATAGGGTCTGCACTCAGTCCCATTCTACAATTTAAATCTTAGTTTTATGACCTTTTTGGAAGCTGGTTTAGCGACACAATCAATACAGTACAGTGATTTAGGTGATTTCAGGGTACAATGTGTGCTATCTCCTGACAGATTTGTAATTAATGAACTCTCCTAGAACGAGCAAGTTAATAGCGTTTTTAGAGAAAACCCAGTATTTCTAACCAAAAAGGTGTTTGTATCAGAGGTGGCCAGGAGCAGGATGAGAGTGTAAATGGTATCTAAAGAGATTTCATGGGGTGTCAGTGGTGCTCAATTAATGTGGATTAAACTAAACCTGGTAAACACGACTGTGAAAGTGGCAAAAGCCCATGTTTTAGATGACAATACTGTCATCTTTGCATGAAGAATTACTGTCCATTACAAGTGCTAGGGGGCCAGGATGAGGCGAGAAGTCAAAATACAGAAATAGAAGGCTGAACAGGCAGGGGAGAGGCAGGTAAAGAGTACAGAGCAGAGAGGCTTCGAGAGAAAACACCACCTGGGATAAGAATCTGACTTTTCAACTCTTTCTACCACAAAGGAGATCATAATCTGGATTCTATGTATGAAACAGAAGAACAGCATAATCACTTTGGCTGAAAGTATGGGTAAAGATTGGGAATAGCTAGAAAGCCCCATAGCCAACTCCTCCTCACTACTTATGGTGGCCCCAAATTATCTCAGTGGAGCTAGAGGGAGAAAATTTAAGATTCTGGAACGCTGACAAGTGGTTGCCAATTTAAATTTTTTGCCAAGTAAAATGTTAAAAAAAAAAAAAAAAAGATAACCAACACCATTATTTTTTAAAAAGAAAGGCACATTTTAACACAAAAAACAAGAGAGCAAGTATTTTAAAAGGTAAAACATATTTAAATAAATTGTGTAAGAAAATTATATAATCCCACCCACACCCCTGCTTTGGACTGAAGAGAACTTAGGCATAGGCAAGCATCTGGTTTTGAGGACCTGGTCTCTGAGTGATAATAGCTGGCCTGTGTAGTGGGGTCACAGGGAATGTTGAAGCTCAGTAACTTGAGAGGATCATTTTCCTTCAGGGTCACGCTAAGCCTTCATCTCCGAGAGCCTGCAGTGCAAGCATGTGCTTTCCCATTTTGTTTTTATTTGCTTTGACTCTGAGAGCTTGTACGTATCCTCTACCACTTGCCTTTTGTTTCCACACTGTCAAAAGGGCAGTGCTGGCATGTCTAAGCAACATCTGAAATGTAATTCTTCTCTCTCAGCCTTTTCTCTTCTTGAGTTATTTGGGTTAAAGGGAAGAAAGCACTACAGAGGGTAGCAGCATGTCCCATTTGTTCCCTGCCAGCTTCCTCACTGGCTCAACTGAGATTTCAGCTCAAACTTCTTTGCCAACCATTCCTTGGCCAAGAATGCCCGATGCTTCCTCCTAACTAGGTTGGTCTTGCTTTCACACATGCTCTGGCTCTTCTAAGCCTGAGTTCTATTCAGTCTACAGAATCCTTCCCTGACTACGCCATCTGAATTGGTTCCCTCACATGGCACTCTCTGAAATTATTTGGTGTATCTTTTCTACTATAATTTCTGTTTGTTTTTATTCTTTCACTTCTTATGTTTCTCTCCCACCACAATGTAGGCTCCTTGAGGACAGCAACTGGATCTATTTTACAACTTGGTTTATGCCTAGAGCACAGCAGGAGCTGGGAGAATATTTAAAAGGATGTGTGATTTTGAAATGCCTGTGGTTGTGATTCCCAAAAGTTAAAAATCACACATAAAAAGGGGACAGGACAAGTAGAAAACGGAAAGATGGGGAGGGACGGAAGACAGAGCATCTTAAAAAATAAATAGGAACAAAATTACTGCCATAGAAGATTACATTTCTTATTCCTTAGCTCAAGCACCAGGAGGAAACCTACCTCCTAACTCTTCTGTATTTTCAGCAGCCTCTGACCTCACCAAAATCTCATGGATTTAGGTCAGGAGTATGGAAGGAGTTCCCGGAAATAAACCTGCTGAGACCCTGGTATGTAAGAAAATGCAGTCTGCCTGTCTCTCTCTTTGTGAAAATCAAATAAAAAGGCAGTCACTTTTCTTTCTGGAAAAATGAAGATACCCCATATCCAAATGAAGGGAGGAAAAAAGGCGGGGAACAAACAAAATTCAGTTGGATGCTGGGTGTTAGTAGGTGCCAGTCACAGTGCTGGATGTTTTCTTTCTCTCCCATCTGATCCACAGAACCACCAGGGAGATAGTTTGGGCACAAGGACTGGATCACTGCCAAAGGGCACAGCTGCTAAGTGGGAAAGGCAAGATTTACACCCAACCCTGCCACATTTCAGAATTTTCTCTCTTCTTACTTGCATTCTCCAGGCCCATCCCCATGCTGAGACTGACAGGAGTCAGTCTATGTAAACCAACACCATTATTTTTTAAAAAGAAAGGCACATTTTAACACAAAAAACGAGAGAGCAAGTATTTGTTAGTTGGTTTCTCTATGTAAACCCATAGGAAACGCTTTCCAAATGGACCTTGATGTGAAGTAAAGAAGCCATTATACTTCTGAGTTTAACAGGTTTTCTAAATGTTAGGAAAATGAAAATAAAGATTTGATGTGCCTCAGAACATCTGACTAGAGTGGTATCTCAGTTTATGAACTTAATTTGTTTTATGATTTTGAGGAAGATGGCTGTGTTTATGTTTGTGTGGTGACGATGGCCATGGTTGTGCTCGTCACTCGATGTAGAGTTTGCAAACAGAAATAAGATTTTGCCGGATGCTTTTATATGCAAACTGAACTGTTTGCAAACACAAGCGTTCATGAACTGAGGTACTACTGCAGACCCCAAAGATGAGCCAGAGAACAATGCAATCTTCAACTACCTAGATGCTACACTGTCCTGGCAGATCACACCACCAACTTGCTCCTTCTCATCACAACAAGAAAAAAACAAGACCAAAATAAAAATGAAAACAAACAAAAAACCCCTGCTCCAGCTTTGAAAGGCTCATGTTGAGGTGAACATAAATCTCACTTGCACCTTAACATGCCCTAAGCAAGCTTACTCTTACCTCTTTGAACTCTTTCACAGTCTTAAAGTATAGTCTCTGCTTTTCTAGCAATTCCAAGTACTGGTCGTTCAACTGGTCTCTTCTCATTTTGTTCTCTTGCTTCTTCTTCTCCATCTGTTAAAAACATTTTGGGAAATGGTGGGTGACAAAAAGGCATTCTGACAAAGGTCACTGGCAGCACACAAATGGCAACCATTAACATTTTCATGGATTCCCTGCCAGTACCTCACATCTACAAATTTTTGAGGTTAGCTGAATTATCTGTACATTACACAGAGATTCTATAATTTATTCAGGAAACTCCATTAATGAACATTAACCCATAACAATTGTTTTTTGTCACTACAAACAACTTCACAATGAACAGAACTTGCAATAGTGGCAATTCTCAACTGGGGGCTTTTGCCCTCAGAGGGCATATGGCAGTGTTCAGAGGAAGTTTTGGTTGTCCTAACAATGAGGAGGTGCTCCTGGTATCACTGAGTGGGGACAAAGATGCTGCCAAGTGATGGACACCACTATGAAACCACCCTGAGCAGGACTTGTGTCTCACTCCTGGGTAGATTAACTTAGGACCTTACTTGGAGTAGTCTTTGATTCTGCTCTTCTTGAGTACTCCCCTCCCTTCTTCTGATAACAAAACAAATACAGGCCACCCGGAGAAGGTCTTAGAAGCCCTAAGACAATCTCGAATTCTGTGAGAGGGCTCTGATCCTCCTGGAGCCCTGAAATCATTCCTTGTGCCTCTTTTTATTTAGCCTTTGCCATACACTTGTTTGGGAGATTGTGGACCTGATCAGCCCACAATAACTTAGGGATATTATTAACCCGATAGCTAACCATCCTACATTGCAGAGAATAACACCACCACAAAGAATTCTCTGGCCCAGAATATAATTTGTGTTGAGGTTAAGAAATCCTAATTTAAATAACTGTGCATTATATGATAAAACTGTCTTTTCACTTGTGACTAATTCCATGTAGCAAACTGTATATAATTATAATTTTTAAAACTGTACAATGTGTCTGATCACTGCTTACTTACCCACCTTTCTACAGATAAAGAATAGTGGTTTTTCCAGGATTCTGCTCTCACAAGCAGAGTCTAGACTTTGACTTAAAGAGGTTTTCTAAAGTGAGTTTATTCACTCAACAAACATTGACTGAATACCTGCAGAATACCTAAAGATAGCAGTGAATAAGGCAATATCCTGATCTCACAGTGTACATTTACAGACTCACATTAAACCAGCATCTAATAGACACATGTTAAAATTCTCAGGTGCTATCATTTCTCTAAAGAAAACTGAACAGGTATGGGGTGGGCACATGGCTTCTTCAGATCAAAGGGCAATGGAAGAATGCTGGCAGAGGTATATGCTATATTTTCTAAAGATAAACTCAGAACATCAGTCAGCCAGAAAAAAGAGAGCAGAAAAAGTTATGTTGCAGACCTGGTGCTTGTTGAATGAATCATGAGTGATACCTCCCCTGGCTTCACTCATGCGTGATGGTGATTTTGGTACTGACAATTGAACTCAAGACTGTGTGCTTGCCAGGCAGGCTCTGTGCCACTGAGCTATATCCCCAGCCCTTGACAGTGATTTTGAAAGGGAATTTATAGTTAGTAAGCACAAGTTACAAGTCAACTGGTTACACCTTAGTAGTTATCTTCACTACTTATACCGAAGGCCTCTGTCGACCTTAAAAGTAAAATGTAACCTGGCATCCCCAAGATCTATCCCAACACTGTTGGAGGGGTCCAGCTCTCATAGGCACTTATGGTCCAATCTGGACTCTGTATCTGGCTCCTAAGTCTGATTCTGCTCTCCTCTTTCCATGGGTCTGCACATGGACACCAAATAGCACAGGGACCCTGCTGTACCCTACGCTAGGATTCCAGCATGGAATCCACCTTTGCCCAGGTCTTCCCAAAGTAGGCAGTCCCCCGTGGGGAATGCCGATGGTGCCATCCTGTACTCAGGGCCAGAGGCTGCCCCTGTATCACTAGCACTGGCCAGTTACTACTCCCCCTGCTGTTCCTCTATGGACCCCAGTTCCCCAAGCCACCAGACATTTCCTGAGGTAGGGCCTCACAGCCAGGTCCCTCCCTCTTATTTAACACAATAGGTGGCTCTAGCCCAGGCCTCTCCTTTTTTCTCAGTGCTTTAGCAAAAATTTGTTCATGATCAACTATGTTCTAGTGATGAGAACAATGCACTTGAGTTATGAATTTATCCAGGACTCACTACAAGAGAGTGTGGCAGTGTAGTAAGGGTATGAACTTGAGGCCAGAGGATAGGGTACAAATCATAGCTGTTCTATTCTATAGATCGTGGATAGACTATTTCAATTTCTGAGCAACAGGTCCTCCTTAGCTGTAAAATCAGCATTTTATACCTAGATCACAGGTTTTGCTATGAAGAACACGTGCTATTAAATGTTAAGCAAATGACACATAATTTGGTTCTTAGTAGCTATTCCATCAAGGCAACTTTTCTTAACATTTAATGCAACAGAGAGCATAATAGTCTCCCCTTTTCAGAACAGGACCTTTCTCTCATTCTGCATTTCTGAATATTTTCATATTCGCCTTAGTTAATACCCCTTTACCTTTTCAAACCATTCCTACCTCTTACTCATCACCTCTTCTTACCCAGCTCAGGAACTCCAGGGCTCTTTTGCTGAGCACTTACTCATGGTATTCCCGAGATCCAGAGATTATACTTCCTCCGGGTAATGTCTAAAGTCCTACTAACATGATTCCCTCTTTGCTCAAAGTCCTCAGATAGAACATATACACCTGTCCTATCACCTATACCCAGTGGTAGTCTACACTCCTGTTCCAGCCTGAACCCACCAATTCTGGGGTGAATCTGTTTTTGGGAGGACACAGACTCACCTGTCACATCCATGGGAATAAAACCCATCATGGCACCATTAGAGGGAAGGTTATGTTTTTCTTTTCTTTTTCTTTTAAACCAACATGACATCCATTCAAATGAATGCTGCTGCTCAAAGGAGACCAGCTGATTCCACGCCACGTGCCAATAAATATTGAAACCCTATATGGAACCCTATTTTAGTACTGCTTTTAAAGTTCACTGAATGAATTCACTCATTCAACAAATAGTTCCTGAGTGCCCACCACAGGGCAAGTGCTAGATCAGCCAGAGGACACAGACCTGAGAGAGCCTGCTTTGCCCTGATTCCCCTCACCTACAGGTGTCACCATCATGGAGGAGACAGAGACACCATGGCAGTGCCCTTCACTGGCCAGCACTGAGGTGCCAACAGCATGGGGCTGGGAAGGTAGAGAGAATGAAGGGGTCATGCCTTTTTTTTTCCCTTGGAACAGGAAGGGGTAACAGAAGGAACAAAGCCCAGTAAATTCCTGCTGTTTTTTCACAGGATCAAGGACAGCTCCCTGAGGAGAAGCAGTAGCAGTGTAGAAACTGCCCACCACAGAGATCTGGGTTGTCACTGGAATGTGGGCAGTCAGGTACCATCTGCCTCATACCCCAGATCATCAAGAAAGGACTCGATTTATTCTATCCTGCCTAACATGTAACTGGCAAGTGCTCACTCATGTTTGCTGTCATTTTTGTGGCTGACTAGTGGGAGCAATTATGCCTTTCACTAGTGATATGTATTTTCTTCTCCTTTTAACATTATTTCATTGAAGTAATTAATGAGAATACTAATGACATTTTTTCTACAAGGAAAGAAATATGGAGCACTTTTTACCCTTAACTCATCCTCATGAGATGAGGTTACACGCAACCTGTCTTATGAAGGATTCTTTCAGAATGACAGGACCTACAGGCAATTCTTTTTTTCATGTGTTTACATACTGAACTCACTGAAGCACTGTGTGTCAAGACCATGAGATGAAACACTTTAAGTCCCCACAGGATTTTACTGTTTAGTCTAAGGACCATTACAATCTGTTACCTTTTTTTCCATGGGACCAAAAGCAAAAGATATTTAGAAGTACTCATTAGGATTTGTGTGGAAATATGGTAGGAAACTATAGCTCTGTGTATGACATCAGTTTAAGGTGTTAGCAAGTCCACCTTCCTATTGATAAAGTGGGCCCACACTAGGTTCTATACAGGTAAGGACTCAGTAGCGCCCTGCAAAGCTCTGTGGGATGCTATACCCCTTGAAGGCTCCTCTCCATTCTCTTCTGACTTTTAAGGTTCAATTTCCTCTCACGCTAGTAGAAATCAGTTCACTGATTATTTGCCTTTTTTATAGGGATGTTCTTGAAAACCAAAATGCTCTAGATCCCAAGACTTTTAAAGAATGAAGCGCTAGTGAAAGAATGTCATGAAGAGGAGATCCAGTGAAGAAATGACTAGCCAAGAGAGGAAGCTAGCTGGGGAAAGATGCTATAATATAGCAGCTATAATATAGAGTAGCAATATTCACATGGGAGGATCCATGGATGTTCAATATGAGGGAGCCACCGACAACAGCAGCCTTTGAACCTCTCAGTGCAGGCAGCCTTGTGCAGGTTTTACTCCTGCAAAGTCAGTTACCTCGTGGGACAAAGGAGTGTCGCCAGGATGGAAAACACACTCCACTCCACTTACCGACCCCCACAGAACTGTTGTAATACAGAAAAGAAGTCAGCTGACCTTCATCCTACTTTGCTTAATTCCTTCTACGATCTGTTCCATCTGACGTAAAAACTGATCCCGGGCAGCAGAAGAGGCCATGGCTCTGAAAGAACAGCAGGGGTACAGTCAGCACACAGGGAGAGGGGAGAAAAGAAGGAAGCAGCCCCATATCCAGACTGTGGTCTAAGAGTAGGTGGCCTCTGCAAAGAACAATGGACACATAGGAGCTCCTGGAGCCCAGGGAATTAAGAATTCTAAACTTCTGAGAAGGCATGAAAATCAGCCTGGTCTACTAACTATTAATCTTTTATTTCCTACGCTATTTTACAGCTTTCTTAACCAATATGTGGTTTCTTTAAAAAAAGACTATAAAAAACAGATATTATTTACCTTAAATTATGGCATGTACTACTTAAAACATGACATCAGTTTAGTTTTTAAAAATCTGAGAATTCGAAGACACTGCTCAGGATTTGTACAAGTGTTCTTAGTGTTCCTAACACCAGGGCTTGAGCACCTCAGTCTTATTGCTAGAAGCAGCAGCTAAAATAGTAGATTACCTGATGTGCCAACACATTTATTCCTCCCCTCCAGCTCTATAAAGTGAGGACAAAAGCACATATAGGGACTGAGAATTCTTCCAAGGGGATGGTGGACAGAACAGAACTCTTCACAAAGACCTTCAAATTGCTGGCTCTCTCAATTATCAGAAAAGGAAAATAAAGCTCCAGGGTTAGAAATGCCACAAGACTGGAAGGTGCTAACTGAATCCAAACCTTACCAGGGACCTGCGTAGTCACGATTTTGTTTTTAATTAGAAATCTAATTAAAACCTACAACTTGTAATTCATAAAGGTCTCATCCTTAATGTGTCCCTGCTCATCTGCCAAGGGTCAGAAGAAGTTTGTGCCGGAAAGAAAACCTGGTATCTAGGGAGCCAGCCCTGGGCCGCTGGGAAGGTGGCTGGGATGGTCTAGCAGGGATATGTTTGAAGACTCATATAATCTGGGTACAGATGGGCCTCCCATCCAACTTTTGGAGGAAAATAATTCATATCTGAACAAAGTACTTTAAACAATGTCCAATAACTTAAAAATAAAACCTACTGCAAGGCTTAAAAATCTTTTACAGGTTATACAGCTTTCATTATATAAATTTTAAAGCTCAGGAACAGAGAGTATTACTCAGACCTTACCAAGATCAAATGGATATACAGAGATTAGAGTAGCTAGGCAAGTCAAATTATTTGGAAGTTAACCTTTTCAACTGAGTTCTTTCTTGGAGTTTTAAAAATTTACTCTAATCATTATATTTTTGCAAGAACTCAAGGAATGTAAGCCAAGATACATCTGCCCTCAGCAGACAGGGAGAAAGTGTCAGAATTACATTCCTGGCATTACACCATGGGTCTACCTTTCTTGGTCACAGTATGGGAATGCGAGGTGGATGAACACAAAGGGCAGGGCTGACCAGAGTATTTACAAGAAGGATGGACAGTACTTACTGTGAGAAGTTCTCATGAATTGAATTGAGTAGACTAATCTGGGGAAATAAAAACAAAAAAATGAAACTCTTAAGTGAAAGACTAAAAGATCCTCACACTCAATCACAGGAAGCTTGCCTCCTCTCCAGATACTGTTTCCAAAAGGAGCACATACTTTATTTATGCAGATTAAAGTAACATGGAAGAATAGAGGAACATGTTCTTAGTCCCACAGTTTTCCCCAGGAAATACCCATGTACTCATGGGACACTTCTTTTCCTATTATGCATTACCACAGGATATAGGAGGAAAGGTCTTTGAAGGATCCTAAATGCCAGCTGAGCAGATGCTAAGTTAATCCCAGAGCTCTTTGGAAAGCCACTATTACAGCCAGTTTCTATACTGTCGAATACCACACTTTGTTTTCAGGGCTGCTGGCACAGAGGGAGTTAGTTGCAAGAGAGACTAAGAACACAGTACCTATCCTAGACCCTTCCTCAGAATTCTCCTGCTCCTGGTTAGTTCTGACAGCCTCTGAGGGAATCCGTCTTTCATGGCCCCATTTCCATGGGCCTTCCTTAGTCCCCACGGTAGAAGCCTCAGTGATGCATCCCAGCAATATATCCCAAGAAGAGCTCCGAGTCTAGACTCCTCTGGCAGCAAATTTATTCAACAGTTCCATACGTGAATTTCAGCTCCACAGTCTACAATGTGGAAAAAATATTCTTGTCCTTAATACTCCAAAGAGAGGTTTTACACTAAACTGTCACAGGCATAAATGCATCTAGAATAAAATATACCTGTCAAATGCCAAGTTCTGTGTAAATATAGCTTAGAATTTAAAACTCAGTTCAGTCTCCCCCATCCCTGACCAGTACTATAACTGTTAGAAGAATATAACAACTTTAGTTCAAGGCTTCTGAGAAGGAGCTAGCCCATCCCTAAGGGAGGGCTGGGAAGCCTTTGCCTCCTGGGGAGGAAGTCCAGGGTGTGGGGCAGAGCTGTCCCCCGGTTCTGACACAAATTTCATCAAATGTACTTATTTATTCAAACATTTATCACATGTCTGTTATGTACTTCTTGTGCAAGGCCTGGATAAAGAGAAACATAAAACTTAACCCCTCCTCAAAAAGTTTGATTTGACTTACAAAAGGCAACACAGGTGACAAAAATTACAGATGCTGTGATTTGAGTTCAGGTAGCAAGTGCATCTGTAATACTGTTCTTACATGTTAACGTACTTACAAAAGTGCTTTCATTATTGTAGGTAAAGGTCTATCAGCCTTAAGGTATGGGACGTATAGGAATTAATACGTATTGAGACACTACCATATGCAAGGATCTTCTATTTCGTCTTTCTCTCTGATCATAATCACCCTCATGTGCATCAGTATGTGCAGTGTGACCCTCATTTTAGAGGTAAGGAAAATGAGGCCAAACTGAAGTTCAAATACAGCCCCAAGGCTGCACTCCCCTCACTACACAGTGCTGTTGTAAGGACCATCCAGACGGTCCTTTACCATTAAACATAGCTGTGTATCCTGCCCTGACCATCTGCATCTGCTACAAGGAGCCCTAAATAACGAGTGGCTTTAACCTGAGTGGGGGGGTCAGAGTAACATGGAGGAGGTTCCAGTTCCCATGTCAACTCTTTCTTTCTGCTCCGAATTTTATTTTTTTCTTTCATGTCCTTGCCTGCCACTGATGACTAAACAACCACTTTCTCCACCTAAGCTATAAAAGACCACTCACTTACCACCACTTCATTCAGCAGGTTCCTCCCTTCTTTGAAAACTCTAATTTCCCCAGCTCCAGAGTTCACAGTGTATCTCTTCTCACGATGGCATTTCTCACAAGCACTACAAAAAAGCCATCCACCAGCCTCACTTCACCTCAGACAACGGAGCCCCCAAGAATCTGCACTTTCTGGTGATGAATCCTTGGCATACAAAAGGCACTCTTTATCTACTTATACTGAATGTATCCATCCAGGCGTAAGTCCATTTGAAGTTCCTGGAGTCAACTGCTTTTCTCATTAAATTATTTTCTTTTCATAAAAGTTCTTACCTCTTTTTCCAAATAAACCTTTTTGTCATCCAGGGTATTATATAAAGTGAAGAACTGCTTGGTTTCTTTGTGTACTGCTGAAACTATAAATGGAAAGAAGTCAGTGCATGAGTACTAACAGTTAATAAACTGACCTCAACACTCTTTCACCAGTGAAGCATAATGTCAGATTCAGGTGTATCTGGGCTGGGAAACCTCAGGGTGTACAAACGCAATCACCTTGTAAAGTTTTAAAGGCTCAGCACCAATTAAAAGGGAATGCATGCAGGTGGGACCCAGGTGATGGCACTGCACAGTCAGTCATAAACCACTGACATAAATGAACCAGTCACCATTCCCCCATTTGGCTCAAGAACTGGGTTGGAGTTGAGGATATTTCACAATAGTAATAAAAATTGGTGTTTGCTTGAAAATGGCTTTGGTGTAAAGATGCCTTTAACAAATGACTTTATTGTGTGGAATTCACTTTGAAATATATGGATGCAAGGTATTACTACTGTTAAAAGCTTTCAAGCAGGAAAAGAAAAGTTAATGGTCAAGATTTAGGTTAAGGCAAAAAACTACTTTCTGGTGAAAACTGTCAATATCAATACCCTGTCTCTAACCATGTGAGTCATGTCTGAAGACTGGCTGAAAGCTCAGGCTGCTCACCACGTGAGATGTAAGAAGTGGAACCTGAACTCAAGGCAGGGAAATGCTCAAACCTGAACCAGGAAGGGCATCTGAGAAGCCAAGGTCAGCAATTCTGATGGCTGTTCTGAGCCTGATGAGAGGTGGTCACTGATTCAGAATGAGGGGAGACTGGCCCTGGATTATGGAGTGAATATGATACTTCCAAGGTCGCAGTAACAAGAATGTCTACAGCAAGGAGCAGTCAGTGGAAACCCGTGCTTCACGTGAAGCAGGAACATAGAGCGGGAGCTCTCAGGAAGCCCATGTGGCTGACCAGAAAGAGGACTAGCTCAGCACACGACTCGCAGAGCTGCACTGGCCTGACAGCGCCACAGTGCTGTTCCTGGAATTCCAATGTGGCCTGATGATGAAACCCTTTTCTGGGGCGGCATCTGTGGTCTGCACTCTGGTCCGTCCTCTACCATGCTAAAGTGAGACAGAGTCCCAGGCCTCCTGTCTCTCCCCAGACTTGAGATTTTGTATGGTCAAGGCACCTACTCTGGCGGTAGAGTTCAATGAATCTCTTCTGATACTGTATTAACTCAGCTCGGCTGGGCACTTCATCAATCTTGCGATGCAAAATTGCTATTTCTCGATTTCTTCGAGCCTAAAGGTAAAAGGGAGAGGGAAACAACCTACTTGGTAAAAGGCCTTATATATCTTCTGGGGGCTAAAATATTGCCCCAACCCCACATGAGCTCAATCACATGCCCTACAACGCAGGAAGAAAATTCTGTCTTTGGCTTGAGTGTGCCACCTGAGATTTTGACTGATGTTCTAACTTTCTACCATATGAGAGGTGTGCTATGAACTGAACCACAGTAAGCGTCACGGTAACAGACCAGAAAGGAAAGATTCTAAATGGGATAGACTTCCCATTCAGAGAGGCCGCCAGGCCCCAAAGAGCTCCTCTAATGGCAGGTAAGGGCTGGCAATAGAAGTAGTGCTTCCCAGATAGCAGGAATTTATGCCACCCTGCTGCCTCCATATAATACAGTCCAAATTTCTCAGTCTGACTGAAAAGCTCTAAGATACTTCTACTACCTCCGAATGGAAGGTAGTAGAAGAAACTGCCCTACTGACTGACTATATGTGGAGGACAGTGTAGTATGGGGTGCACAGGCGACTGCTGCTGTGGGAATGAGTCTCTCGGCGCACATACTGCTCTCACCACCTGAGATTTATGGTCTCAGGACTCAGAGGGCTCTCAGTGCTGTCGTTCTTCAGTGCCTTCATTTCTCCCATTCCTCAGGCTGCTAAACTCCAGCAGCAGATGCAAACCTTTAATTCACTTATGAAATACATGTCTCCAAGCAAGAGGACCACGGACCTCTCATGAGGAACACGGCTGGGCCATAGGAGAAACACATGCTTCCCTCTGACCAGAGCTGTGGGGACCTTACTTTAGGTTTGTCCACAAGAACTGATGGCGGATTTTCCCTTAGGAATCATAAGATACGACTATTTTCTAGGAGGCAGAAAACTGCAAGTTAGAGCCCAGCTTATGCAATTTAGTGAGGCCCTAACTCAAAACTATTAAAAAAATAGAAGAGCTGGAGCTGGAGCTCAGTGCAAAGGCCTTGGGTTTAATCCTTTCAATTGCTGACACTCCCCCATAATACAGCTATTTACTTTTTGTACTGTATGTATAACCTTTGTTTCACTATCTACCTATCTAACCTAATCTTACCCTCCCTACTGGTTCCTCATTAACATTTAAATATGCTCAAGTCCTTCACTTTTTTAAAAATGTCCTTCCTTAAATATCACCTTCAGCCTGCAATCTTGCTCTTCCTTTTCACAGCAACCGCACTGACAGCCATGCAGAACTTCTACCACCCCCTCCAGGCATAGTTCAAGCACCGAAACTGGGCTTCTCCCCAGTGGCCACTGGCCACTGAGCTACTCCTGACAGTCGGTGTAGCCCTTCTCAGCTACACACCCAAAGGATGATTCTCCACTTCTAGTTCTCCCGACTAGCAACAGCACTTCCTACCCTTTCCATGGAGCTCTGCTCAGCTTCTGGAAGCTGCTTTCATTTCCTACCAGTCAGAGTCTGGTCTCATCCACATTAGCAAACTCCTCTTTTTTTCCTCACATTGTCCTGACATGTGCTCATCAGGGTTTAGTGCCCATCTACATTTGCACAAGCTTCAGCTTTCATCTACACAGTGTGGGAACCCAAATCTCCAACCCAAACAATTCTGTGCGTTGGACCCAACAACCAATCACTTCTTGGGTATTTCTACTTGGTTGCAGCCCCTACATACATCTCATTAACATTCCTATTCATATTTCCATTCTTATTTCTACTATGCTTTTGCTCAGTACAAGTATCTACATTGTGTCAGAAACTTCTACATCATCAGTGGCTCCTCTTTTTCCATTCAAATGCTAAGTTCCATCACATGCAACTCCTCACTCTACCCTGGCAACATATTTTATGCATCTCCCTGCCACTGCCTGACACAGGCTTTCAACAAGCTATTAGTTTTATTGCAGCTTTCTTCTAGTTGGATAGAAGCGTACTTATTGATTTGGGACAAGTATTTACTCTATTGGAGTTAATTTTTTTATAAGGAAAACAAGCCTAATATTTACCTTCCACCAGGGTAGAGTTCAATTCAAACTAGCGATGGTGAAAGTAACAGCAATGTGAGATGCTCTCACCAACATCTTAAATCATGGAGTGACAGAAGCCTCATTAGCTATTCTCGCTAGTTCTTACACACTGAGACTTCTTAGTTGTGTAACAGGACATTGACACCTAGTTAAGATGCATCTGTGTATTGTTTGTTCTTGCTTTTACTCACCTGTAGTAAACGGATCTTGTAAAGTTTCTCTTTCTCCATATTATACCGCCTGTCTAGGTCTTCCTAAAAATTGAAAAAAAAAAACATTATTATCTGGGAATGGAAACCTTTATTTTTTCATGCAGTCTTTGGAAAATGACTATTATTGTATGTTCCCCATCTTAACACCTCAAATTTCTTTCATGAAATCATCAAATTCAAGGTCTATTTTCATGTGAGACCTTGTATACCTGTTTTACAGTACGTTGTAACAATTCCTCCTTGGTCAGAGTTCTTTGCTGAATTCAGTGTTAAGTGAAGTAACTTTCATACCTATGTACCCTTCCTTCACACCAAAAAAAAAAGGTCTGTAATGATGATACGGCAGTTAGAATTTTTTCATGACTCTGAAAATGATGCTGGATTTCTGTTTTTTGTCCAATATAATAGCCACTAGCCATACAGCTATTTAAATTTACGTGAACGGGGCTGGGGATTTAGCTCAGTGGCACAAGTGCCTCCCCGGCAAGTGCAACGTCCTGAGTTCAATTCCCAGTACCAAAAAAAAAAAAAAATTTACATGAACTGCCGGGCATAGTGGCACACGCCTGTTAGCCCAGCACTTGGGAGGCTGAGGCAGGAGGATCACTGAGAGTTCAGGCTACAGTCTGGGCTACAAAGTGAGCTCAAGGCTAGCCTGAACTGCATAGTGAGACCCTGTCTTAAAAAGACAAAATAAATAAATTTACATGAACTAAAATTTTTTCGAACTTCAGTTTTTCAGTTGTAACACACATTTCAAGTGCTTGGTAGCCACATATAGTAGCCACATATAGTTGGTGATTATGAGTGCAGACACAGAACATTTCCATCACTCTACAATGTCCCACTGGAGAGTACTTATATGGAGAAGAGACATTATTCCTGCACTGCACCGATACAGTCATGGCTGGAAGCTTTGTTGCTTCAGAGAAAGTTACAGAACAGGTCAGAGGTGCCCTTGTCCCCAGCCTGCATGCATTTACACACACGTGCAGGAGCGCACGGGCGCGCGCGCGCGCGCACACACACACACACACACAGTCTTCCACAGGGCTCCATTGTAGCCAACCTCCAAGAGATTTCACTGTAGGGGTCCCAAGGCCTATTCTCCTGGCAGGTTATGAAGAGGCACCTTGAATAAGACAACACTTAGAGCTTTCCTGCCTTTTCTTTTCTTTCCTCATCCTCTTCCTTTTTTTCCTGGAGGTTTACTACAGACAGACCAGCGCAGCCTCCCCTTCTCAGTTATGAAGACAAAATGCTCGCACCCTGGATTGGAAGAAAACTCACCAGAATGGTGAGCATTAGGGTCATCCTTGGTGAGGCCGTCTCCATTGGAGGAGCCAGGTCTGTAGAAAGGTACAGTGCCCCTAAAAGCCCAACAGATGAGGAGGTGGCTGAGGAGACTATTGAAGCAGGCACGAGGAACTACTGAGAGAATGGGAAGCCAGCTGCCACACATTCTGAGTATAATATTGAGAATGAGCAGGTACTTACATTGTGAGTCATCACAGAGGTTAGCACACCATCCGACCCTCCGTTGGAGAGAGTCTGAAAGCATGAAAGCACAATCAATATCTTTCCTGACAAAGGCAAACAGGATGGAAGCTGAGAGCTTAATGCAGGAAGGGTGTGAGAGGTGGGAAGAACAGTGGAGCTAAGAAATATCTTGATGCTCACTCAGCATGTGTAAAGAGAGAACAGAAAGCAAAAAGCCCATACACTGAGCTCCAGGTTCTAAACTGTTCTTCAATGTCTGTCCATTAAACCCTAACAAGCTAAACTGTAGCTCTTTCTGAATGTAAGATCCCCTGTAACAAGATGTACTAAGATGAGGTAATCCTGAAAGTTGGTGATCTGTGTAAACTCAGAGGCTGGCTGAACTGATGATTCATGCCTCAAAAGTTTGAAGTTTGAAAAGCAATTGTAAAGACAGACTGTGCGGTCATGGTGCAAGACACAACTAAAATGCTGGCTGTGCTGGTCACCAGGCACGTTCCCACAGGGACGTGAAGCTACATGGCCAGGCTGAAATGAGTGAAGAAGTCCTCCCGAGGTCTGGGTCTCACCACTGGATGCGGCAGTGTCCAGCACAGCCCAGAGCAGTCAGTGGAGAGTGCCAGGCCCAGCATGGGACCTCCAAGCTGCTGGTTGGCTTGGAGAAGTGTCTTCTTCCCTTCCGAGCTTCAAGGTCCCCTTTATCTAAGGGTGAGGGAGGTGTGATCCATAAGCCATCAGGTCACACTTAATTCTCACATCCTACTAAGCACAGGGACCCTCAGTTAATAAGCTATGAATAAAGTGTGAGATTAGAAAACACAATCAAAGGGATTCCTATAATCTTCTTTAGCAAGAGAAATAGTACATTTTCCCATTTCAAATTTTTTATTTAACATTCAGTGGAAATCTCTGCTAGGTCCCTGGAAGAGCAAGTCCTTTAATCAGAGATCCAGCTGCGCAGATGTGTTCCTTAAATCCAGCATGTCCTGCAGTCCTGGGACTCTTAACACGAATCCCAGCACTTCTCTCCTCTTTCATGCTCCTAACTGTATTTTGAGTGGGGAACAGCCGTGGATAAAGGTTAAATGGGCGAACTGAAAGAAAATTTAAAGAACAAGTGGAATGGGAAATCGCTCAGACAGAGACCTCCTGATGGAGGAAGAGGTCAGAGTTGTATGATTCGATATCTGGTGCCTGTGCTTGCTCCTTCTACATCTCCTGCTGCCTTTTACCCTCTAAAGGTGAGAAGGCAGACAGACACAAGCCTATGAAAATCACAGGAGGAAAACAGTTGAGAAATATGTTTACAAGCACAGGTTAAGTAAAAGGAAAGCCCCTTTTGACATTAGAATGGCTAGTTCCACACAGGCCCTAAGAGTAGCTGGCCCTGAGAACTAAGTCAAGCCTTTACCTTTTCATCTGGTGTTCTCTCAGCTTTCAGGTTTTCAATTTCCTGTTGCAACCGTGTCATCTCCTCCTTAAAAATCAAAGTGAACTTTTACAAAAACCAGGCAAAGTAGTAACTGGATAAAATTATTTAAATACTATTGATCCAGAAGTCTTACTTTCACTTCATAGTTTATGCTACAAGTAACAAACCAATTAGGAACAACCTGCTTTGATCCCAATTTTCAGTCTGAGAGAGTTCTTTTCAGGAGGAAAAGGCAGCTGTCCCTCACTTGAAAAGGGCCTTTTTTTTTCTAAAAGGCCACTGACTGTGCAGTAATCACTCAGACATGAAATGAATGAGACGCCTAGAGCCCGGTTTCAACTAGGCTTATCTGCTGCCTCTCCCCATCTCTGCCTTACCCAACTGTCTACCTTGCCATCTCCCCTGTTAAGACCCAATTCCTGATGGTTCCTGTGGGAGTGGCCTTTTCTCCCTTGGAGCGCCCCCAACTTGCTGGGCCTCATTTGCAGCTTCCTGCTGCAGTCACTTGTGCACACTTCACCCACACGACTAAAATGCAAGCATCCAGATGGCAGCAGTTGGCCTTATTATACATGAGGCACACAGGCATCCGAGGTTTCTACTATAATACTGGCTTTGCATGGTATTATTATCTTCACAAAAGTCATCCATCAACAAAATATAATGTATTTTTTAAAACTTTGAAGATTTTTCTTTACATTTGTTAATTAGTTACAACACTCTCCATTTGGGGGCCTGACAGTTACTATCTCACTCACTCTGGTGTCCTAACATGACCGGAACATAACTGTGTGATAGGTGTACTTTTTACACTGTATTAGACAGGATGCCCCAACAGCTCAGGCAAGGTAAACCAAGAGCTTTTACAAAAGTCCTCGTTTGTCTGCCAACACCAAACCACACTTACTCGGCAATGTGCTTTAAACTCCTGTTCCTGACTTTTCAGATTTTCATTCATGGCTACAAGTGCTCTCAAGTTCTGCAGAATACTAAAGAGAAAAGACCAAAAAAAATGACATATGGCAGGCCATTATTATTTTATGAATCACAGCTACAATCAGAGCTTAGCTAGAAAGGACTCCATTTTTAATCTCCTATGTCTGCCCCATGAGTGTCTAATGGGTTTTCCACAAGTAGTAATAATGACTTCCATTTAATTGATATTATTGTTCCCTTATATACCCAAGACCATCAGGCAGATCCAAACAAACATTACAGATTCCAGAGTTAAAATGTCAACTGTAGAAACATCAATGAGTTTCAATAGTTCTGGATATACTTAGTTCTGGATATATTTAGTGATACCAATTAATCAACTATATTCAGGGCACAGACAGTATCAAAAAACATTTCCATTCTGACAGGGAAACAAGTTGCTTAAGGTTATAAAATACCAATTTGAAAATAAAAATGTCAAGTATCTGACAGCGCTTTATTCCATGTTGTGAAAGAAAGGTTTCTAATTAAAAAGCCAAGTAATCTGTGGACGCTTTTTGCTAATATCATCTATCAAGCCAGAACTGCTCATTCTGTGCCTGAAACTTTTTATGATTTCACAATTTCACTCAGATTAGTGACATGATATTTTACCAACCAAACCGACTAAAGATTAAAAAAAAACAAGAGAGAGAGAGAGAAAAGGCTGAATGTTAAGTATATCCTTTCTTGTAACTATAATTAATCTTACCTCGGGAGTGGTAGGGCAAACCAAAGAAAAACAGCAACAACAGAACTACAGCTGCTTGGTCTTGGCAAAAAGGACTGCATCTTTTCTGCCAAGGAGATATGGCTAAAATGTGTGCTGTTAAAAACCTGGTAATGGAGGACAGCAGGGAGAACTAGGCTAGGGACAGATTTCTCCCTGTATGTCTTTTTATACCTTGAAGATATTACTATTTTTAGAAACAAAACAGTAACAACAACAGAAAAACAGGCTACTTCTGTTAAAAGGTGAACTGGGAGAAAGGTGGTTAACCTACTGCGGCTCAAGGACAGTTCAGCAAGTACATGAGCACAGTCACCCCTTTCAGGATGGCTACGTGCAATTCTGACCTACATGGACCAGAACCCATGACTGCTGGCTGCTTTGTACCATGCACAAACAAACTAAGTCCTCAAATACTGGCAGAGTTACTTTCTGCAGAAGGAAACAAATGCATGTTGAAATTCTTCACCTTGGATCTGCTTTGGATTCTATCTTCTCAAGGGCTGCTTGCTCTTTGTCCAGTTTCTCACTATGACTCTTCAGCTGCAATAAAGAATGGAGGAGGCTCAGCAACAGAAAGGAAGGTACATTTGCTTATCTTCCTCCCAACTCACATCCAAACTCGTCTTTCAGTAGCTGGGCAAACCCACTGGATTTGGCTGTACACTGAAAAAAGAGACAAACCAGAGAAATGGAATAGGGGTGGAGAGGCGGCATCAGAAAGTCAAAATCAGACTCTTCTGGACACATGCTGTCAGTTAAAGAAGACTTAGTGATGGCTTCAAACCACAGCAGCAAATGCATGGGAAGCCAAATGGAACAGGGATTACAAGTCCCTTTGGTAGGAAGGAGAGATGAAAGAGTGGCTGTAAGACAGAGACCTGGGTTTCAATCTACTCCTAGCCTCTTCAAAAATTTCACCATCTTTTTCTGAGGCAGATAAAGAGTAAAACTTTTTAAAAACTCATTTTGGGCTGGGGATATAGCTCAGTGGCATAAGGGCCTGCCTAGCAAGCACAAGGTCGTGAGTTCGATCCCCAGTACCGCAAAAAAAAAAAAAAAAAACCCACAGATTTCAATGCATAAAATGTGCAGTAATGGCATACAATAGAATATAAAGTTAACTCTTTTAAAATGATCTCTAATATCAACTGTTAGGTGAAGAAAATAAGGCATAAAACCATGAGCATGCCAACAGGAATGCAAACAAGGAACTTAATTTGTTCTATAATTCTGGAAAAGATGACAACATTTGTGTTTGTGTGGGAAACATGGCCATGGCTGTGTTTGTCACTCTTTGTAGAGTTGGCAAACAAAAACAAAATTTTGTCAAATGCTTCTGTTTAGAACCAAATTGTTTACAAACAAAAGGGTTTATGAACTGAGGTACCACTGCATACATAATTGCCTGTATAGTCGTAGTTCTAAAAAGATTCAAAACCAACTGGTTCTACAGGTCATCTTTGGAGAGGTAAATGGATGATGGCTCCACCATACTTTTGCATTTAATTTGTGTGAATGTGCTATTTTTTAAAAAAAGATCAGAGGAAAGTTCTAAGAATTCTAACTGAAGATAGGAGACCAAGAACAAGTTGCAGCAACTCCTTTTTGCTCCAAGTCCCCAAATAATGCACTCTGTTTTGCAAGAACACAGAAATAAAACTCATGGGACAAAAACAAGGGCTTGTAGACAAAAAGGGACTTAAAAGAACAGCTGTGTAGATTAGCAGACAGAGGAAGGATTGGTTTTCAGAGGTGGAGGTCTATGTTAGCAGCAGCCAGGTGGGAGAAGCCATGAAGCCTGATTTCCTTAAACACAAATGCAGGTGCCCGAGTCTCAGAGGCAGGACACAGGCGCAGATGATTGGGCAAAATCTGGAGAAATGGACTGACCCTGAATGTCCCTGACCCAATCCAACAGAAGCTACCATCTGGGGTATCATGTTACGGGAATCAGCCTGATTGTTGGTAAATGCTGCAATATCAGTACGAAGCTATTAAGAACGTTAACCCTACACAAAGTAAGCTGGGTTAAATGGATATGGCATCCAGAGAAACAGCAGCAGGAAATGTGAACATCAAAGATGAATGATCATAATCAAGAATCAAGAATCCTGAACATGTGAAGAAAGAAAAGTATTAAAAAGTTGTATCAGTTCAACAAGTGAATTTTGACCTGAAGAAATAGGCAGTAAAAAAAAAAAAAAGAAAAAACATTAGATACAATACATGCCTGAAAAGACATGAGAAAATACTATGCATACTAAAACATACAGTTTTACACATAGGAAACTGAAGTTGTACTGGGAAGGTTAGCAAATGGACAAGCAAATGGACAGCCTGTGCTATCAACACGAGCCAGCATGGAAGGCAGCCATATAGCCTCCCACACGGGTGTCTCGTGCTGCCAGCATCTACCTACTTACTGCCTTCCATGCCCTGGCTATACTTTTTATAAATTTATTGAAAATGTAACACTTTTCTGATGCCAGTGCTATTAGGTTATGCTGGAAAGGGAGTTTTTGCTGAAGAGGTAAAATCTGGGAGTCCTGGCATAAAAGAGCTCATTGCCCAAGGTCGGCCTTGAACAGATGAAGGAGACCTATATCCACAGGGGGGGTCATAATTATGCACGGGCTGACCAAGCTTCTTCCTAAGTTGTTCAGCAGTAGGTTATGCATAGCTTCCCTTTTGTACATGGGAATTAGTTTATCCTACCAGACCGTAACCTCTCTGGCAGGGTGTGATTCCAGATAACCTGCACTGCAGTCCTGCCAGCCTGTGGCAAGGGAGTTAGCCTTAGTTTCCCCACTGACAGAATAGTGATGAGAACTGCATGTTGCTAGGGCCATTGTAAAGGTTCAATAGGTGAATAAAAGCACTCAGTCAGAGCACACCCAGCACATGGTGATGTTGCTGTTTTTATCTGAGGACAGGGAGATTTCCCTTTATTAGTTTTTGTTTGTTTGTTTGTTTTTGGTACTGGGAATCAAACTCACGACCTTGAGCTTCCTAGTCCAGCGCTTGAGCCGCTGATCTATATCCCCAGCCCTTCCCTTATTAGTGATTTAAATCACTTCCTCCATAGTTCTAGGACATGGGAAAAGCTCACTAAATCCTTGACTTAGTATTTAGTACAAAAAGGCACTTTATTTCCACTTAGGATTTATATTCTAAGGCACAAAAAATGTCCTAAAAATTGGTATCAAGATATTTTGCCTTTAATCTCTTCTAGATTATTATACAAAGACTGACCCATGACTTGGCAAATCCCATGCCAAGAACTCTAGCATTAAAAGCAATAAAGCAGTAGGGATTCTACCCCTAGAGACTTGGTGTCTAATCCATATGGAATATAATCACAGAGCAGTATAAAGGAAGTCAATCTGTCTAAATGCAACACAGGCCTTTTTATTTTTTTATTTATTTTTTTTGGTACTGGGGATAGAACTCAGGACCTTGCACTTGGCCAGGCAGGCACTTGTTCCACTGAGCTATATCCCCAGCTCAGGCCTTTTTAGAGAAAATGAAAAATATCCTTATTTTAACAGCTATCCTCAAGGCCTGTCCTTTTTTTTTTTTTTTTTCTTTTTGAAACAGGGCTTGCTATGTAGTTCAGGCTGGACTTGAACTCACTGTGTAACCCAGCTGGCCTCGAACTTGTGCTATTCTTCCTGCTTTAGGCTTTCTGAGTTCTGGGATTACAGATGTGCAGTACCACGCTCAGCTGAGTCCTATCCTTTTTCAATCATAGCACAGTTACTGAAGAGACCGGTGCTGGTCAGAACTGAAAAGCTTTGTCAGGTTTATAGCAAGGTGGTAAATAATCACTGTGTACTGCTATAGAAGTAAGAATTTTAAAGTTTCAAATTTCATATGAAACTTTATAAAAGCAGGGACTGGATGATTTTTGAGATGTCTCTGAGATTCTAACTCCCAAGTCATCTAACAGTATGAGGTAGAGACCTTGCAAGATGGCCCTTCCAGGGTACAGCCACAGCTCAAGTATGGAACCCACCACAACGTTTCAGATCCAGAGGAAGACAGTCTTCTGTGCAAATTCAAAGGACAGAAATATCTAGTCTTCCCAACAGGGGCATCTGTTCCTTGCCTGGTTTCCTAGGCAATCAGAAGTGGGAGGTGAGCCATGCTGTGATGCTCATGTGAGATAGCACATTTGCAACCTGAATGGCAAACTGAATTGCACAGTTCAAATGTACCCACCAGCCCGCTTCTCCCTTCTGTGATCCCTTCTTCCATTCCACCTAGGAGACAGGTGGTAATCCTGAAAAAAAAATTCCATCACTCTGAGATTCTTTCATCTTTCACAAGAAACCCTCATGTGCTTAAGGAATTCAGTACAGGAAGCTGTTAGATAACCTGCTGCTTGAGGAGCAGGGGCCATGCACTGTGTAAGACCCTCAGTGGTCTTCTCTTTGACCCCTGCCTGTTGGGCTGGTCTTCCCCAGGGCCTTACACACTTCCTCATCTTACACACTCACAATGACTTCTCTCACCAAGACCACTGAAGATTTAGAATAATGGCAGGAGTCATACATCACTATGTAACTGTTCTATGTTCTGAAATAGATCAGGACTCTGATGATAGAGCTGGGACTCTTCCACAAAGGATGATAAAATTCAGCATTCCATTAGCAGTGCTGGTTAGAAACAATTCTTATCAGAGGCCACAGAAGAAGGAGGATCTGCTCACCTCTGTTAATGTTTTCTTTGTTTCGTTATATCTGGCTTGAAGGTTGGTATGATTTGCTTGCAGCTGTAAATGAAAGATAAAGACATTTGCTTTTATTTGACCCTTAGAACAATTGAGGTGTGGACTGTATCTCCATTTCACAGAAGAGGAAATGGAAGCTCAAAAAGATTTAAAGTAAGCCAATATGATAATTTTAGAAGGGTTGCCGAGAACACATTAAAACATAATCCACCTCTTAATCAGCACCAACCACGTGTTATGCCATTTACAAGGTATTCTATACAAATTCTATCACTGAATCCTTACATTCAATAAAAGAAGATAATGTTCTTATTTTACGGCAAAGAAATGGAAACAGAAGGGTTAAGTCACTGGACTAAAGTCTCACGCTGACCACAATAAAGGCAGGATTCAAATTCAGATTAGAAGTTTCTGTGGCTATAATCAATTCCATTAACCAATTTGCCCACTCACAAACTGCATTTCAACATTCACAATTTTAGCACAGTATGACTTGCTGGCAAATGGTGCCAAATGTAAGAAAGGTTTTGGGCAAAAAAAAATAGAAAGGTTTCAGAACTTCAACACTCAGAAATAAAATGAATTTCCTTTACTGTTCAAAGTATGTAACTGTAAACTTGTATCTCTAAAATGCCAACTCTCTTCCTGTTTCCTCATCCAACTGGTCAAGCTACATGCCAGGAATTACATTTTGGTTCCCCTTTCTCTCTCTCTCTCCCTCTCTCCCTCCCTCCCTCTCGCTATCTCTCTCTGTTTCTCTATTTCTCTTTGTCTGGTTCTAAGAATTGATCCCTAGGCCTTCATACTGAGCTATATTCCCAGCCCATTTTAAAACTTTGAGACAAGGTCTCACTCTTTGCTCATCTTTAATAACACTGACCATGGGAATAGTAATCATTGTCCTTTACTGAGAAACTGCTATCTGAAAGGCAGTATTCCTGAAAAATATCAGGCTGTTAGTAAACAAGGACCTGAACCAACTGCAAAACTGACCTAAAAGTCAGGGAAGATGGCCTTCTCAGACGGACGGAAACCGCCAGAACTGCCACTTAGAATGAAGCTCAGCATTGCTTCACAAATTCAGACGAACAGGGAGCAGAAGTAAACATCCACTTGTGCTGAGATGCTCTGGCCCTTGGCATCTGCACACTTTGAACTATCCCCGCTCAGGGGATAAAGACACTGTAATAAAGAAGCCTAACCCTTTATTCCTGCTCATTTTGACTCTGTGATGAGTTTCTTTTGAACCAACCATTCTCATATTCTTATTATCACTGACTACAATCAGAGGAAGATGATATACCTGAGCTAAGAACTCATTATGATGCTTAAATAAATTATTGAACAAAAAACAAATCACAGTCAATCTATGCATCTTTCCTTGCTTATGATGCAGAGTCTTTGCATGAAATGAACCTATTGTTTATTTAGTTGTGGTAGAACAAACTCTAACAGAACAAATTCAAACAAAGAAAGGATTGGGCAATATCATTTAATATGATAATATCTTTTGAATATGTGAGATTTGCAAGAATGAAAAATTCAAAAGCTCAAAAATGCCAACTGGCACCCATTTTTGCAAAATTAATTGTTAACAGTAATTTCCCATGAACTGTTCTACAGAAAGTTGTATTAATTCCTATAATCTTCTGCTATATGTAACTGTCTAATTAAGAATTACTGCCCATGTGTCAAAAGCATATGATTTTTTATTGTGCAATGACTGTTTCTGAGTCAAAGTCTCCAGTTCCTCTACTTTCCAGGGCAAACCTAAGAAAATGTTTCAGAACAGTCTCACTCATCACCAAGTATTACAGAACGCTAGCTCTAACAACTCTCTTAGAACAACCCAGTTTCTTCTACTTCTCCTGTTACCTACTGCTCATGCGGACTGCTGCACCGTTCTCCTTAGAGCTGGTTCTCTCTGAAACCCTTGTCACCCAGTCCAATTAATTCATGCTCACACAGCAAACAGAATGGTCTTTGCAACATGCAAACTGGATTATGTCACTCACCTACTTGAACACTCAAGTGTTTGTCCTTATCACGACCAGTCTGATCAGACTGTACTAACCAATGGCCTCACTTATGTGACCTCCAACCATAGCACAGAAACTAGTCAAGACCATTCCTCTCCATGAACTTTGTTCATGTTACTTCATAGGTCCCCAAGCCAGACCTCCACACTTCCTATGCAGACTTCCTGCCCAGTCAACATCTACTCACCTTTGTAGACTTCATCCTCTGAGACATGAAGCTAGGTTAGGTCTGTCAGTCACTCTGTTAGGGCCCTAGAGTTCTCCTTCAAGCACTCATTACCACTATAAATAAACGTGATGGGTACAATGGATATTTTGTTAAGTGTATGTCTTCCCATAAGAATTTAGGATCTTCAGGAGCAGATAGTCTAATGTGTTCTTCATTCATCCTCAAAGCTTGGTTCAGTGCTTAGCATAAAATAGTGCACAGTAAGTATTTGTGACTGAATGTTATTCTTCCCATGAAAAACTTTTCCTATATGTGGCCAGAAAGTACTTATTTTAGGCTTTGCAGGTTACTCGGTCTCCGCTGAAACTACTCAGCTCTGCACTGTAGACTGAAAGCAGCCAGAGAAAGTATGTAAGGAAACTGGTATTCATATGTTCTAATAAACTTTATTTAAAAAACCAGGCTTAGCCGGGTTGGACTGAGGTCTACATATGCCAACTGCTATTCTAAAATCTCCTCTGATCAATCTATCAGGAAGATCTTTATGTCTTTCTCAAATTTCTCCCTTTCTTAAAGAATGAGTTCATTGACTTGACTGAAATTATACAAAGAAAACATTAACCTCTTCCAGATGTTTGGTCTTCTGTAGAATCTGCTTGTTCAAGGAAATAATTTTCCGACGATGTAGCTGGGAGGTTCCTAATTTTTCTGGACTTTCTTCAGCAGACAGCTCAGACTGCTGTGGGAAAAGGGTGGAGGAAAGCCAAAAGATTTAATTAGTTCATCTCACTTCAAAGGACCCATCCCTGCTCAGTCTGGGAAAAGCATTACTAGGCCACCAAGCCAGGGCAACTACAGTGTCCTCTGTAGAAACTCCATTCCAGGGAATATTCTGACATAATGACCAAAGCCCTATCAACAGAATGTGCATTCTTGGCACAGGGAAAAGTGTGGGCAGAAGCCCAGAGTCACTTAACTGTGGTTATGTTGCTGACATATAGAAAATGGGACACACTCCAAGGGTATTCAGCAGGGGAATAACATGGTCATAGTAGTATCTTCACAGGATCATTCTGCAGTCATCAAGAATAAGATTTTGGTCAAAGTATTATAAAATATAGGCAAAAAGTCCACCATTAAGAAGCACTTATAATGAAAAGCAAGTCTCCCAAATCATTTCTCTTCATCCATAGGCCTACGCTCTTAACTTTTTCTTACATGTGGTCTTCCAGTGAGAACAGAGAGTAGGTTTGAGAGGGATAAAAGTTGCTGAAAGGCCAAGAATGACACTTCTCAAAACATGTAAGTGTGGAGGTGACACAGAAAAAGGACTGAACAAGGCCTAGATATTGCCAGGACTGGAAATGCATACAGGAGATCTCTGGATCCAGTGATGAGGTGAATGTGGCAACATTTTATACGACAGGGAACAGGTCATTATTGAGAAACCTGCTGAAGGAGGAAGCAGCTTGGTATAGTTACAAAACAGAAAAACTTAACCTCCAGGCCCTTGTGAGGAACCCCAGCAAAAGGAAAGAAAAGCCTATTTTGTTGCTACAGCTTTTCCTAAAATACTTTTAGGATTACTAAAGACAGCCTTTCTAGTCAAATACTTCATATGGTCACATTTCCCCTTTTTTACTTAAGCACCCTAATTCCAAGCTAATCACTGATTTTAAGCCAAAGTGCAACAAACTAATTGGATACTTGACTTTCCTTGTGTATTTTAACAATAATGATGGGATTTAAAGTTTGGAAGATGTATCCCTTGGGAAAAGATATGAAGTTAGAAAAAAGAGAAACTGCATGGTCATAACTACCACTTATTATGGGTAAGGATTTTTCAGAGTAATTCAGCAGCATTATAAATGGATCATGAGTTTCTTTGCTGCTTAAAAACTCTACAAGTAGGAAACAACCAGTAGGGTATGGTTGCATAAAACAGTAAGGAACATCACTTTCTGTCTTGTGTGCAAATAGTCCACGGAAGAAAACAGACAACCTAAACATTTGGTAACACAACATATCTAGCCTTGAAACCTTGGACTTTAGAAAATGTCAACTAACATTTTAACTTTTAAAATTAATCTTGGACACACTGAGATACTCATAACCTGTCATCTGGAGGAGAAATTTTCTGAAATTTATTTGAGAGCATAATAAAATGGAGAGGCAGAAAAACCATCCTCTCCCTATTTCCAAATTACCTGCCAGAAACAGAACTATAATTAACTGTTTCTTCTCTATTTGACTACACTGGTCTTTTGTATGGCATGCATTTAATAGCTTTTATCTTAATAATTTCAGTGCTAGGCTTTAACATCCAATTCAGATTCCTTGACACTGACTTCGAAAATGTCAATGGCATCTCCCAAGGGCATTTTACATTATAAGCAGAGTTGAATAAGCCTTGTATTTTGTTTGAAATAATAACTCCCCATTCATTGGTATATCTGTATATTTAATGTATGAGTTATTCTTTTTTTTTTTGAGACAGGGTCTCACTATGCAGTTCAGGCTGGCCTTGAGTTCACTTTGTAGACCAGCTGGTCTTGAACTGGCAAAGATCCTCCCGCCTCAGCCTTTGAGTGCTGGGATTACAGGCGTACGCCACCTTGCCCTGCTTGTAAGAGTTATTCTTAAGTGTCCTGACCTCTTCCAGCTGCCTATATGGCTTCTAGATTGAGATGAGGGTAGGCAGACTCCAGTGGATCCAGGTATCAGTCACCTCCAGGCTACAGAGGCTGGTAACTTACCCTCAACTCCACTCTGCAGCTTTGGCGGGGACTGGGTAATGTATCTTATTGTTAGTTGGCTTTCCTGCTAATCAACTGCTTTTACAGTCAAAGTACTAAGAGAATAAAAACCGTATTTTCCACTCAGCTTCTATACCCTCATATTAGCAAATGTAGCATGCATATAGCTTTAAAAATGTTTTAAACTGTGACATTCAAACTTCAATTATAAGAACCTATCCTGCAGGAAAACCTGCAGGTAGCTATCTTAATATCTGAAAATAAAGACTTCCAGAGTATCTGTAAGATCAAACTTCTTTCTATAGTAATACTAAGATGTTATTTGTTTTCATTCTAATTTTGTCATGACTGTACAGTGAAATTTTCTAGATATTACATAGTATGTGTCATCACTGTTCTGATGTTAGAACATAATACATTTATTATTATTTGTAAACCAATTAATACATAAGCTAATGGGTTTGGTAATTTTTAGGAGTCCTTAAAAGGTCCTGAAACTAAAAGTGTTGAGAACCGCTTCTTTGATACAAGAGGGCTGGGTCACTCAGGATTCTTCCCAGTGGCTTAAATTCATCAATGTACCCACTGATTGGGACAGTCAATAGACTGGACTACGAGGTGAGTTATTTCATAACATCAAAAATTGGAAAGGTCTCTCTGACTCCATGCTTTTACTGGACAGATTAGTCACAAAACAATATAAATAGAAAAAAAACACTTGCAGTGCATAGGAAAAATCCTGAAGTCTCTAAATAAACTGTATCTCTACTATGATAGTACATATTCCATAAATACATTGGCTTTCAAAATATTTTACCTTAGTGCTGAGTAACAATTCTCATTCTCTGTGGAATCTGCATTTACAAAAGTATTAATGTACACTAATCCCAGGATATTAAGTACCATTTCTATATTTGACTTTCCTCTAGTCCAGATGACCAATATACACAGGTATAGGCCCCTCATACACAGGAGTTTTTGAGTTCCTCCATTTGCCTTTCAGTCTTTGTATATTTGGACATTTTGATATAGCTAAAATAATTTACCCCAGAGCTGCAATGAAGAAACTTGTTAACACAGACAATGGAAACTGCTCTAAATTTTTTATTTCTTTGAAATATCCTCCTTAAAGCCAAGAGAACTCAGACTGAAGACAGAAACTGTTCCTTACATCAGTAGAGCTCACACAACACTGTATTCACTGAGTGTTACAATGGAAAAGAAAGCTGAAAATGATCGAGTTGAATCTTGAACAACAGCAAGAATTGAACAGACGAAAGAAAAGAGGGGGCTTTATAATAAATCCTTGACAAAAAATAATTAAATCCTGGGGCATCTTAAGTGATTTCATCTTGGAAAATGCAACATCTGTCAAAGAATGCCCACCATCTACAAATAAATCCTCTCTGTTTACAGTGGGGTGAAGGCTCAAGTGCCAATCTAATTTCATTCAACAATGTCAGATTCAAAACGTAATTTCAAAACCACTGTGTGGATTAAGACAACTTCTAGTACAGATTCGTTTTTTAATACTTGGCAGATATTTGAAACTTCTATTCTTAAAGGAAACAGATTTAAATGTCACACGATATTACTAGTCTAGGTCAAAATGGTAAATATTCAAGAGAAACATAAATAATTACCCAGAACTATATACCTCCGCAACTGAAAGGGACTCTAAAGGTTATCTACATATTAACCTGCTGTTTTGGGGCAGTGTTGTGACTGAACCAAAGGCCTTGCATGCTACACAAGTGTTCCACATAAATTCCCCATCCCTAGCTGATACGGAGATCTCTCCAGTATCATACTCCCAACAAAATATGGCCACTAAGTTGTCAAAAGAAGCCATATGTCATAAGGTTGCAAAAATACTCTATAATATTCAGAAGGACTTCAATTCCTGGCACCTTGACCTACCCATCAACTAAAACAGAGGATAAAAATATTAATTTTAAATATTTTAAAAAATGTATGAGCTAGCAAGAATATCAAGAAAATCAGGAAGACTGAAAAAGAAATGAAAGTAAGAATCCAGGAAGGCTTGTGTACTCAATGAAATAGGCTTTTTTTTCCCTCTGAGGGTACTTGTTAAAGCTCAATGATCTCAAGTTTTGATTTGTGGAATTCTGTAACAACTGCCCCATGTATATCTTAACACTGGTGTAAGAGAAAGAAGAAAAAACTACACTGAGGTTTGTGACACCAGATTGGCTCTCATGCAGTTCTGCAATCTAAATCCATACATTACTTGATGGCCCATAGTCAGAACTGTTTAAAATGGACCTGGGGTGAAGTGTAAGAAGCAAAAACAGATGCTCCCTGGAAGAACAGAGTCTGAGTCATCCATTAACCTATGCTGAGTATTTTGTATGCAACATACTACAGGGACATAAAGATGAAAGATGCAATTGTGGCCTTCCAAAAAGAGATTTAGGACAGGACTGCACAAAATTTGTGACATCAGCCCAAGATGTGAAGTCTAGAAAGAAGCAGTTTAAAAATCTGCCTGATGCCCACCTCCATCCCAACCTGGGTTTTTTCTATTTGTGACTATGAAGAGGTTTGTTCCCAGGAAGACAATCTCTCCTTGTATTATTACCTTCCCCAATTCCCCATGCCAAGTCTACCAGCAAGGGGCAGAAATGATTTTTGAGGTAGGGTGATAGGATTAGAAATATGTATGTTAGCTTCTTAAAATTCACACAACTCCCAGCTCTGTTTTACTGTACTTAGCCATTTAAACACTCACAGGCTACTGTAACCATGGTTCAAGGCAGTCAAGCTAATTCTCAGGCTACAGAATTACAGAATTACAGAAACTGCTATAGCTTTTGTAGGTTAGTTGTGATTCTGTGAGAGTGCCCAGGTTGCATCATTTTCACTTTTACTTGTTTCTGCAGTCAGTTCCCTGTCCTCTTCCTTCCACAGTGCAGTGGGGTATCATGACCTTGGTATCATCCATGTGATGCTGGTTTTACCA